GGCAGTAGGGAAGCCATTTGCCCAGGGAACATGAGCTGGGCTGGGCCCCTTGCCCACAGCAGCTTTATCTGCGCATTTCAGTGTGATGGAGCAGACCTGACATCCAAGATCCAGGACCTGAAACCACAGTGCCTCGTCTTTCTTAACATTCCAAGGTGATTAGCCCCTGCCCACAAGCAGTGGGCTCTATGCGCCCCCAGCCTGCCCCGTACCTTGGGTCCATTTTGGTTCTAGGTAGCACTCTGCCCCCCCTTGTCTCTCTGCAGGTACTGTGCAGGCACCATGCCCTGGGGCAACCCTGGGGAGCACCACGACTTTGAACCCCAGCGCCATGACGATGGCTGCATTGAGGTCATCGGCTTCACTATGACATCCCTGGTAAATCAGTTCAACCATGGTTAGCAGCCCAGGGAGCTATGGCCTCTGCCCCTACTCCCACTTGCTGAGAGAGAGGGCACAGCCCTCCCCCAGTCCCAGCAGTCCTATCGGCCACCCTCCAAACCCAGTTAGAGATTCTGCTTTGTTTGATTGTGGAGTCATCAGGACCTTCCTGCCTGTGGTTAGCCTGGCTTGGTGTGGTCTGGAGCCAGGGACACCTCTTCCAGGGATAGGAGTTTCGAAGTGCAGAACAGCAGAGCCACCCTCCAGAACAGACTCCCCAGCCTGCACCTGGGCCAGCGTGTCCAGTACTGGGACACAACAGCAGGCACTATCTGCCTTATTTTCTGGAGGTGTGTATGTTTCTGTTACCTCCTCCATCCTGCCTTCCCATCCACCTCGCTTAAAGGGGCCTCCCCAGAGCAGAGACAGCAAACTGGGCTCTGTTTTTTTCTAGTCTGTGAGATTCCTTCCCACCAGGGGCTGGGCCTGGACTCTGAAGTCTGGCCAGTAGCCCCATGGTCCCTGCTCTCCTCTCACCCTGGCTCTCTTTACAGGCTGCCTTGCAGGTGGGTAGACACGGGGAGCGGCTGTGCCAGTGCCGGCAGGTGTTGCTCACCACATCCAAGGCCATTCCCATGCAGGTGGATGGGGAGCCGTGCAAACTGGCACCCTCTTCTATCCACATCTCCCTGCGCAACCAGGCCAACATGGTACAGAAGACCAAGCGACGCAACTCCATGCCCCTCCTCAACGAGTACGTTTGCTTGGTGTAGGGCAGCCCAGGGACTCCAGTCCCAGGAATACCCCAGGTCCTTCACTGTACAAGGGTGATGCCCATTCAAGGGGCCTCATTTGCCTGTATCTTATGGGTGGCTTCTCCTGAGTCTTCCAACTTCAGTTGCTGACATTTGTTGAGGCTGGGTTGAGAGCAACCTCTGAAACTGGTGCCCAAGAGACTTGAGCAGGGAGCCTGGAAGGCAGCAGTAATCAGCTGCTGAAAATGCAGCCTTAACCATCAGACTTGCTGCTGGGACTGGGCACTAAGCTCCCCTCCGCAGCCAGTGCTCCTGCCCTGCCCCTACAGCACTACCTGCTGGCAGAGAAGCCCCACCCTATGTCTCCCCCAGCTTGCCATGCCAGTGCTCATGCCATGCTGCCTCCAGTGCTCCTTGCTGAAGAAGCAGTACATGAGACCTCCCCACTTCCTCACTAAGTTGTCTCCTGTTGGGGGATGCTGGACTGATGTCGCTAGGAGCTCTGCTGATAACAGTCTCCAGATTAATCTTTTTCTAACCTCCTTCCTCTTTCATCCTGCCCTCGTATAGCCAGCAGCCTGTGCCTGAGCGGCTGAGAATCCGGGTGAGCCGAATCAGTATGCATGACTATGAGGCACTTCACTACGACAAGGAGAAGCTCAAGGAAGCCTGTAAGTAGCCAGCTCAATAGCTGCAGGGTGCTGGGGCCTTACGGGAGTGTGCTACCCCAGGGGTCTTGGGAACAGCCACTGGAGCATCTGGCCTGCAGGGCTGCCCACAGGTCTGGTATATGGATGTCACATGGTCTGGAGGTGCATGCTGGGAGCTGTCATATCCTCATGCAGCTCTGCCCAACCCGATCTTGTACAGTTCTCAGTCTGTCTGCCCGCCTGAGGTTAGGACCAGAGTTGGTGGCATCAAGAACCCCCTGACTGGGCAGGACTGGCAGCCGACTGCTCCCTGAGGTGTCTTCACTTTGCCTTTCAGCGGTGCCCCTAGGCATCATTGTGGTTCCAGGAGACAGTGACCTTGAGATGTGTCGGACCCAAATCGAGAAGCTCCAGGAGGTGAGTCATGGAGTCTGGCCTTAGAAGTAGAGGGTGGGAGGGGGGAGGGGGGGTCAGGAAAGGGTTCTCATGACTCCCTGGTTATAGCCTCACACAGTTGGTCTGCATAGTATGAGGAAGATGCATCCCAAGCTAGGTGGACCAGTGATCCCATCCAGCCTGGCAGCTGCCATCAGCCTTGTTCTTTCCCCTTTTCTCATCCTGCACCCCTTGTTCTCTGGCCCTCCTACAGAGGGTTGGGCAGATGGAAACAGTAGACTTTCATTGTACACAATGGGGAGCCCTTTCTGTTCCCCCCTGCTTGCCATCAGCCCTAGGGATCTCTTCCCCCAGCACAGCCCGGAGCCCATGGATATGTGCTTCCCTCCCCACCCCTGCTCTCTTCTAGTGTTCACAGATTCTGGTCTGCTGTGCAACCTGGCTTCTACCTTCTCTTCTCCCTTGGAGGGTTGAAAGCTGGGCAGAGTGATACCTTAGAGACTAACTGGTTCAAAGAGTCATGAGCTTTCATAAGAGACAGCCTACTTTTTCAGATGCTTCATCACATAGCATCTGACAGAGTAGGTTGTTGCTTACAAAACTGCCTGTGAACCATTTGGAGGGACTCTGACCAGCCCTGAGTGGCTTAGGAAATCCTGCTGGGTCCCTGCACCCTGAGGGGTGGCTCCCACCATTTTCCCCTTCTTCTCCTTTGGGTCTGATATACCCTGCACTGTTCTGTTGGCAAAGCTTTGAGTGTGTCTGTGCTCACCGCCCCTCTGTGGCAGCAAAACCTTTCACCCCCTCCCATGCCAGCAGAGTGACACCACCTCCCCCAAGTGAAAGAAGGCTTCTGTCACCATCCAGCAGCCAGCAGAAGGCTCATGTAAACACTTTCATGCTTCTGTCAGCTGTAGCAGTCCCTTCAGCAGCTGATGCTTTCTCAGGCTGCATTGTGCTCTCTGCCAGCACAGCTGCTGCAGTGAAGCTACAGAGTTGTGAGAAGCACGTGGATGTGGATGTGCCTTGGTGGCCGGGCAGTGGCAGCTACTGCTGGGCAGAACCAGGTAAGTGTAGGTGAGGTCTCCATCTGAGGCAAGTCTTAACCAAGATCAGAGCTCAGCTCCCTGCTGAGGGGCCATAGCACGGGGCATGCACAGAGCAGAGTGGCTGTATGCTACAGCAGGGACTGGCTCCTTGTACAGGAGGGATGCAGCCAAGACCCCAGTGGGACTGCAGGGAGGCAGCCAAGTGAACCTGGTAACCCAGCACCTTGCCTTTCCACAGGATTTCCCTTCATGCCCCTCTGCTTTACAGCGCCTGCTGCTCCAGGTGTGTATCTCCTGCTGCCCTGTCCCCCCCTCCTGCATGTCGGTCATGTACAGTGTCCGTTTTGTTGTGACCTCTCACTCTTGATTTTGTTATGTTTGTGTCTGGCTCGACCCCATGGCTGTGTGCTCTTCCCCATGTCCTTCACCTTTACTATGCCATGCCAGTTTGCAAAGTGCTTCTGTCAAGGGGGCCTCCAAACTTTGAGCCTCTGAGCCTGTCTGAGCCCTCCAAAAAGCTGGGGGACCTGGAAGGTGGCGGAGTGGGGAGATGTGACTCTTCTCTTTACGCAGGAAGGGGATGGGGCCAAACCAAAGGCACTGTCATCCCAGAAGCTGTCGCCCAAGTGGTGTTTTCTGGATGGTGAGTATCCTTCCTGTGGAGGACGTTGGCTCCCCCCCACCCCTGGCAGGGGGTTGGGGGCAAAGGAGCACTGAGCCACTCTGACACATGCCAGGCAGGAGTCCCAAGCCTTTAGTACCCCCTTGGCAGATCATTTCCCTTGGCTTGGGTCATGCTGCAGCAGCATTCCCACGGTAGTGGTGCTGTCTGCTTGGCACAGGTAGGAGATTGTCTGAGACTTATTTTTTTGCCCTGAGCTGTGAGGAACATGCCCCTTCCTCTCAGTCCCAGAGCAAGATCCATGCGAGTGTGTATCTCTGCCCACGGCACCCACCCATGGGAGGGGGAGCTGGGTTGGGGTGCATGGAGGAGGTGCTTCAGGATCAGGCTGAGAAGCTGTGCCTGGGACTGGCAAGCAGGGGGCTCCCTCACTCTGTAAACTCCTTTGCCTTAAAGCATGAAAGACCTTCCTGTGCCCATCCACAGGGGTGCTGCTGCTGGTTCAGAATCTGTGCCTGCTGGTGTGACAGGTTGTTTGCTTCCCTCTTCATAGAAGCAGCTTCCTCCTTCCCCAGTCAGAAGTAAGCATCACCATTCCTCCATCTACAGGGAAGGACTACCCATGGGACTTCTTCTTTATTGTTTCCAAGGGAAGCTTCCTGACATCGGATAGCCCTGCTCAGTAGTGTAACAGCCCAAGGCATGGAGCTGAGGGCACCTTGCCCTCTTGTCCCCCATTACCACCCTCACACCCTACAGTGGCTCTGAGCTTTAGTGGCTGCTTACTATGTCAGCAGGGAAAAAAGGAGGCAACATCTCCCCCTGCAGCAGCAAATCTGTGGTCACTGCTGATAATGCCATGTGCCACCACTGCCCAGGACAGTTATGCCTCTGACAGTGCTCTGCCTTTAACGGAGCGTGTGAGCAAAGCTAGCTCTGTACAAATCCTCTGTGACGATGAGGAGCAAAGAACTAAACTAGGAGCTCAGCTCTGGGAAAGCAAGCAAGTCCAGGTGAGCCAGAAGGGCAGGGGCAAAGGAAGGCAAAAACTGGGAGCTGGTCCTCGCTCCTCCAAACTGGAGGCATGGCAGGCAGTAGTGATGAAGGTTTAGTTGTGTGGGAGCTGCTGTAGTGGCATCCTTCTCCCCCAGGAGGGGCTGTAGAGAACAGTGTTCCCATTGCAGTGAGAGATGCCTTTGTACCTTTAATTCAATTATGGGCTGCACACTGGAGAGCGCCTGTTGGGCTCAGCCTCTGACTCAGCCGGCTGGGTTTGTTGGAGTCCCTGAGTGCTTGGCTTTTGCGGGGCAGCAGGGACTTGTTTACAAACACGGCTTTGTTTCAGCTCCTTTCTCAGCCCCTTCTCCCCTTTCCACCCCAGGGGTTGTTACTTTGTTCCCAAAGCTCCAGGCTGTGCCTTTGCTTTTATTGGCATATTTTTTGGTGTCTTTTTTTTTCCCTTCAGTTTGAGCAGTTCCCTGGGTCTCCCCCACAGGCCAGGACAATAGGAGCTTTTGTGCCCTTGTAATGGTGCTGGAGTGAGTTCCCAAACAGAGAGAGAAGCTCACACAGGGGCACCCAGCAGGGCCTGTCTCGCTCAACTGAGCCTCAACGCCAGCAGCCCAGCAGCCAGCACCAAGAGCTCCCTGGGCTCCAGTGGCACAGTGCAGGGAGCCTGACTGCAGATAGACCGGCTGCTTAGGGAGATGCCTGAGGGTGAGCAGGGCAGTGACAGGCCATGGCCCAGATCCTGTGGGGGAGGAAGGGGACTCACCCTATCAAAGGGAGCAGTGGGAGCAGATCTGCCACCCATCTCAGGTGTGCAAACAACTCCCCAGAACTTGGCCACTGAACGAGGAGCTGAGAAGAGTGGGCCTTGCTGCAAGCCTCCTCTCTTGAGAGCCATGGCATCTCCCTGGGCTGTGGAGGGTTGGAGGGAAGGGGAAAGACACCCCACCGCGTGTGCTGCTCCCAGGGTCCCAGCTCCCAGGTACTGCAGCTGTGGATTATTTCCCTTCCTTTTGCCGGTTTCCCAGCAGCAGGTTTCAAGCTGAGGAAAATGTGTCAGGAAAGAGAGTGGAGCTGCATTCAAGGGCAACGCAGGCTCATTAAAGTGGCTGAATTACAGGCCTTCGTCAGCAGCTCCATGGCTGTAAATCTCTTGCCGGGACAGGATAAACGGGGCTCTTTCACTCCTCTAATCTGCTCTGGCTTGTGTCACAGACACCCCTCCCCCCACCCCCTGTTCCTAGAGAGAATTCCCTGGTCCCTTTAGGGCCCAGCCATAGCAACCCCTTGGGGGAGCACAGAGCACATGCCCACTGTGCACTGGGGCTGTCTGCCCCTGGCTTGTTCCCCACCCACATTTGCTCAGCACTGAGAGGTGTCCCAGAGGTCCTCCATCCTCTCTGCTTCCCCTCTTCTCTCCTGAGTTACTGATTGTGACATGGCCTTGAGCTGTCAGCATTGCACACTCACAGGGCACTTCCCAAACACTCCCTCGAGGAACCCCCCAACACCTTCCACCCTTCTCACCCCAGAGTATCAATACATAGGTGGGGCCCTTCTGCCACGCCAGCTGGCTCTGGGGGAGGCTGAGAAACAGGTGTTGCAGGAAGGAGGCAGGCAAGCCTTAGGACCTGCTTTGGTACGGTTCTCAGCTGCTGCTGGGAGGATATATGTTGCGGGAAGGCTCTAAGCTGTCCTACCATCCTTGGGAACGGGCCAGCATCTCACCCATGTGCCACTGGGAGACGTGCTCTGTCACGATGTGTTACGGCGACTCTCAGTCAGCAGTGCCAATGTACAGCAGCACTGTGTCAATGATGGCAGTGTGTGGAAGAGCCCAACCTCCACATCTTGGCTTCTCCCTGACCCCGCTTAAGTTACCCTTTATTTTGTAGCAGTAGAGTAAATTCTGGCAGCGTGGGGCTGCCATCCCAAAAACTTGGTGGGAGGTGACAGTATCACTGTCAGGGTGTGGCACCAAAATCCTGAGACCCTGCAGGCAGGCCTGAGGGCCTGGGAATCCCTGGTGCAGCAGAGTGGCAGGCCCTGGGCCTTAGGGTGCTAGTCTGCCATGTTCGGCCGTATCTGCCAGCAGCCATCAAGGCAGCATGCTAAAAGGAAGCACTAGTTGCTCTGTCAAGTGGGAGCATGGCATGCTGGGGTCTGTAGGCCCAAGGGCTGCACCTCAGTAAAGAGAATGGACATGTCGTTGGCACCGCTTGTGGAACTCAAATTGGGCTGCTCCTGGCCAGGAGTTAGAATGAGAGAAAAGTCCAGCTGGAAGGGACCTCATGAGGGCATCTCTTCCAACCCCCTGCCTGAAGCAGGATTATCCCTGTCTAAACCATCTCCAATCAAGTCTAATTTGCTCCTAGAAATGGTTGAGGGGGAAGGAGATTCCACAACCACTATGGGTAGCATGTCCCAATACTTAAGCACCCTCATAGTGAGACGGTTCTTCCTAATCTCCAACCTAAATTTCCCATGCTACAACTTAATTGATCATTGATTTTTGTCCTGTCCCTTGTATCCACAGAGAATAATCTATCTCCATCCTTCATATAACCACCCTTTGGGCATATGAAGATTTACAAATCCTTCCTCTGTTTTCTCCACACTAAGTAATCCTAGTTCATTCAACCTTTCCTCATAGTTAATTGTTTCCACTGCTGTGCTGTGGGTGAAGAATAAGTGGGAGGGTGGGACACAGCATGGTGGGATAGTCCCAGGCTGCTCTGTGGCAGAATTTAGTGATCATGGCCAGTCCTATTTCTATGTCCCTTACCAGTTTCCAGGGACAGGGCTCTCTCAGTGTCTCCCTCTCTCTTGCAGCAACTACGGCTGATCGGTTTTACAGGATAGACCGTGCACAGGTGAGTTTAGCCTTGTTCACAAAGGACCCCAAGGACAGGGGCTGTCTAAGAAAAGGGCATTATTTGAGTGCTGGCATGCAACTAGACATAGCATATACATGTACATGCATCACGCCTGCTTCATAGTTTGCTTTGTACCTCTATTGCCCAAAGCCTGGGATTGCATCACAGAACAGTCTTTTGGTAAAGTGGGTTTTCCCTGGAAGAAGGTGTCCTGTTCCCTGTAGGAAGGCCCTCTTGGGACCAGGTGGGAATTGGATGCTTCACCTTCCCCTGCTTGAACCTCAACCCCTAATCAATTAATGGAAAAATACTAAGAAGGGAAAAACATATAAGGATCTGGACCACAATGGCCCTTGGGAGCTATAGGCAGTGTTGGGAGAGTAGGGTGAGGTCTTGCCATGCTCAATTGAGCTGTGTTTGGCAGAGTGAGTTGGGTGGAGCAGTGTAGTGCAGAGTGGGGCTTCCAGCTGATCTCTGGAGCTGTGACCAAAGGCGATGAACACATCTGGCCTGTGCATTTCTTGCGTTCTTGGACAATTGCTATGAAGTCAGTCCCAGGCTAAAATGAAGTCACCCCAAGGCTTACTCTTAACCCATAAATCAGTGATTCTCAGCCAGGGTGCTGCAGCACCAAAAAGGTGCTTTCAAAGATGCTGTGGGGTGCCACGCAATGTTAGCACTGTTAGGTGTGCAAACAGGATTCAAGATAAACCCAGAGATTTCAAATAGGCATCCATAGTGTTAAAAGCATGCTGACCTTTTTGTGGCCTTTCTGAGCTCTCTGCAACAGGAAAATTGCTGTATTATTTTTCCATAGTAAAAAAATGAGTGAAAACTAAAAGCTGGCATTTTCGAAGGAGGGCCTTGAGCCTGTCAAGGGGTGCCTAAAGTCTAAAAAGGTTGTGAACCACTGCCACAGAAGCAGAAGTGCCCAAGGGGCTTCTCCATAGCCCAAAGGAGTCAGAGCTCCAAGCATTTGGCACACACCTTTACCAAAACGGGCCCCTTCCCTCAGTCAGGTGCACCTTTACCCTAGCAGCATCATTGGAGAGGTCCCTAGAGGGAGATGTGCCTGGGTTCTGGGTCCTTCCTTAATGCTGCTGGACTGATGTAAAGGAGGTGGGACATAGCCTGAATGAAACAGGAGTTTACAAGAAAATAAAGATTTAAAAAAGGCTAGAATAGCTGTAGTGGCTGGGTGTTCAAAGGTCTCATGACTAGAGCAGGAGGAGTTTAGTCCCTCTATGTGGTTCTGGCAAGACCTCACCTGAGGTCATCTCTGGGTCTCCCAATCCCAGGGACCTCAGTGCCCTGAACCAGTTCCCTCCTGTGCAGTTCTAGGGGACCAATATTTGTCACATGCCATTCAACTTTGAGCCCCAGGTAAGAGGAAAAGGAATGGAGTGAGTTCAGGGAAGTGAACCAGTGCCTGTGGGGAAAAACTAGGAGCTGACTCTATCTGGCATGGCTCAGTGACAGGTATTCATTGGGCATGGGGAATAAACCCCCTGGGGGTTGTAGGGTAAACCAGAGGTTCCCAGTCCCCGGGCCATGGCCCAGTACTGGGCCACAAAGGGTTGGCTCCCAGTCCACAGGAGGGTTGGCTGCTGGACAGGAAGTCCAGAAGTGACCAGCATACTGCATAACGGCAACTAACCCTTTCTTATACTGAGTATAAAAAAGGGTTGGCTGCTGCTCTGCAGTATGCCAGTCACTTCTGGACTGCAGTTTGCTGATCCTCAGTTTGCCAGTCCACAGACTGGTCCACAGTCAATTCCAGTCCATGGTCGCTTCTGGTCCGCAGCTAGCCAGTCTGTGATCTAAAAAGGTTGGGAACCCCTGGGGTAAACCCTCAAGGGTGCAAGCATGTTTTGCAAGGTGCTGCCACTGAGGAACAGGAGGCAGGATTTGAAGGAGTCCTGTGGCAGGGCTGTAGGCCTGTGGAAGTGTTCTTGGGAAAGGGGTAGGACTTGAGTCTGGACGTAGCCCTGAGATAGAGGCCATTGAGAGCAATCTTACCCCACCCCTGGATGGGAATTGACTGGATGAGGCCAGGGGATGCTTTTTCCTCACCAAAGCTCCACACATGCACAGCAAACCTGCACTTCACCTAGTCTGGGCTGCTGTGACCATGGTACAAAGGCTGCTATGTGGCAAGCTAGGCCCATCCTTGCCCTATTGCCATGGAAGCTTCCCGCTGTGCCAAGCTCCTGTTTCAGCTCCACTCTCATGCCAAGCCCACTGATGCACAGTGGGCTGTTGCCTACCCCCCAGGGGGGAATTGTTTTCCTGGGAGTTGAGGGGACTGGCCTGTGGGACATTGCTTCCCTCTCTGAAGGAACCAATTTGTACCTTCCAGGAGCACCTCAACTACGTGACGGAGATCTCTCAGGACGAACTGTTTGTGCTGGACCCGGAGCTGGTGATCACTCAAACTGTGGGCACCTCTCCTGCCATGCCTGACCTGGTCGACACATCATCCACACCCACAGGGCACCATTTTGCTTTCCCTTCTTCCTCATCCTCTCCACCCTCTTCACCTGCCCCCAGGTGAGACTGCCTGTTCCAGTCTGGGAGGGTAGTCTAGCCATGTTGAGACAGGGGCTGGGTGGGGAGGTGAGCTGGGGGTTGAGGTGGTCCTGGCACTGGGTTTGCAAATCTGAGTTGAAGTAAGATGGGTTGTGTGAAACAAGTGGGAATTCTCTGTATTTTGTTTCCGAAAGGTGGCGGGGTTGAAGGACCAACAGCCTTCATTTTCCTCCTCTCCTCACACATCCCACTCTGAGCCAGTGCAAATGTAGGGCAGTGGGGCTAAACAGGGTGTCACCCTCATGGCTGTAGTTCATCCTTATCAAGCCAGGGTTGGCTCGGGCTCCAGAACTTGTTCTCCATGACTGATTCATATGGCAAGGGGAAGGTATGTCTCAGGGTAGAAGATAAATCTCAGATCATGAGGCATAGGTACAGGGTTGGTTTTTTGTTGGGGGGTGTTGAAAAGGCATAGGTACAGGTAAGTGAGTGTGTGAGGGAGTTGGGAAGGAAAGAAACCAAGTGAAAAAGATCACGGCAGAGAACAGAAAGACTCCGAGTCAGGAAAGGGACAGGTAGAATTGCCTGAAGTTCATTTCTTCAGTTGGTCCCTCCTCCCATCCTGTCACCTCTGGCAGAGCTGCAGCAAACCTCACGCAGCCAGCTGCTGGACAGGGTTTGGATTTAGGGGCCTTCCCAGTTACTCTGGTCTTGGTTTCTCCTAGCAAGAGAGGTTGCTGGGGTGGAAGCTGTGGCTGAGGGTAACACGGTGGGGTGGGGTGAGGAGGGAGTTTGCTTTGCTGTAGAGCACTGCCAGTTTGACAGTATTGATTTGCCTTTCTTGTCTTCCAGCTCAGAAGCAGGGGTTGGCCCCACACACAAAGGTGAGTCCTTCAACCCTGCCCTAGCAAGGTTCCCATGCTGCCATGGCCATGTCTCAAGTACTGTAGGTCCTCAGCCTGATTCTTTTCTTCCCCATAAACTAAACACAACAGGTGTCCTGAGAGACAGCCATAAATAAGGGAAATGGTTACCATTCATTGAGCCTGGCCCCTGCAGGCAGTACATTGTACTGTCCCTGAAGGGGTCCTGACCCAATCCTGAACCCGCAGGCTCTGCAAGCAACACAGAGCCCGTGTCTGGAGGGTCGGGGACTGTGTGGTGTACTGCCCTGCAGAAGGAACAGAGCTCATTCCCTCCACCCGTGGTGCAGCAGGAGTGCAGAGTGCTTAAGCAAGCCCAGGACAGGATGATCCCCTGAGGGGAGCAGCCAGAAAGACTGGCTGGAGAGATCCCATAGCCATTTGCCTGAGCCATAGAGCTGCCTAAAAGAGCTGCTTTTCCCCAGCTCTCCTGTGAAATGTAGAGATCGCAGCTGGAGAGGGCAGGAAATGACATGGTGGCAGAGTTAATCTCCCACCTGCAGAGCTCCCGCCTCTGGCTGGGTTGCTGGGGGTCGGGTTTGTCTCTGCCAGGCACTAGCAGGGACTCGGGAGGTGGGAGCATGGGGTCAGGGGCCTCCCTCAGCTGAGCAAATGGAAAGAGTTTCCTGGAGCTTGAACAGAGCCCAGTGCCTGGAAGTGTGAGTGAGTCACTGGTGAGAGTCATCCAGGCTGCTGGCTGCATCCCTGGGTACCTGCCCTCTTTCCCCCTCTGCATCAGGAGTTATGTTTCCCCAGGGCCTGAAAACATTCCTTCTTGCCTGGCCAAAGCTGGTGTCTGGCCATGCCTGTAGGAAAGTGAGGGTTTCTCCCTTTCCCATTTGTTCCCTTCCATCCCTGTGGATTCTCCCCCTCTCTTTTCTTCTTCTCTTCCCTGCCTGCCATAGCAGAGCCAGCACTGAAAAGCCGAGCCCCTCACCAGGCACTCTGTTCCAAGCAGAACCTGCCTGATACGCACTCCAGGGCTGCCCTGCCAGTAGCCCCCTGAGCGGGTCAGGTTTAGAGACTGTCAGTGAGAAGGTCCACTGCTGTTCCCTCCCCACCCCCACACAGCTTTCAGCCTCTTACTGACTCCTTAGGAAGTGACCAGCCCTCTGCAATGCTGGAGTAACCTGCTCCATGCTCCCCTGATTGAACCAGCAGTGAGGCTCCTGCCAACCCCAACACTGGGACAGCCCCAGGAGAACATGCTCCTGCCAGCCCCAGCACTGGGATAGCTCCAGGAGAGCATGTTTGATATCAGCCCTGCAAACCCTGGGCCCTGCACCACGTCTGTATGCCACAGAAGCTGCCTCCAAGCCCCAGTCTGTACTAGTGAGGGGCTGAAATGAAAGGAAGCTCTCTTGGGCAGAAAGGGAGATTTCCAGCTGTGTCTCCCCAGTGCTTCTATTTGCTCCAGTGCAGCCTGTATGGCACCTGTTGCCAGTCTCCCCACACAAACAGACACTGCCTACCCCTGCTTGGTTTCTATCTTCTTGTTTACTGTTTCCTCTTTGCAGACAACCCTTTGATAGAAGCTGCCAAGAGTGGTGACTTCAGCAAGGTAAGATCTGCCCTGTGCTAGGAAGCCAGCCATAAGAGCTGGAGGTGTGGCATCTTGGCCCAGAGCAGCCCTCCCCAACCCCTCCAGCTGGCTAGGACCCCAGCATAGTGTGAACTTCCCTTCTGAGGCACCTGAGTGGTGCCTGTCAGCCAGGCTCCCTAATCACCCTGCCAGTCCCAGCTATGACAGCATGGTACACGTGCAGTACCAGGGGAAATGATCCAACAAGGAAGCTTGCTTTGGGATGGGTGGAACATGTGGCATTAGATGAAGGCAGCTGTAGCTTGTGGCTGAGCTGGAGACCAGTTCAGTTTCTCACCCAGGTAGAACATCTGAGTAACTTGGTAGCTTTGCACTGGTGAAGGCCAGCCCTGCCAGGTAAAGCAGGGTGCCTTGGTGGCAAGAAGTTAGGGGAGCCCTAAGAAAGAAAACTAATCCAAAACCATCTTGTGGTCCTGTAGTTCCAGGAGTTGCACAGGGCTGGAGGAGACCTGATGGTGCGAGACTCTTCTGGTCAGACAGTCCTGCACCTTGCTGTCAAGTCAGGGAGCAAGGACATTGTCAAGTACATCATTGAGAATGGTGAGTCAGTCCCAGATGGCTGCCCTGCTGCTAGAGCAGCTCAGTAGAGGGGACGCAGTTTGCTGGACTGGCATAGAAAAGGTTGGAGTCTGGATCCTCCAAGCCTCCCTTTACTCTTTGCTCCTAGCTGTCATGTGCAGGGTCCTTACTCTCTCTTGCTGGGTCTGTTGCACTCTTTCTCTTCCCTGCACCATGTTATCTCCTTACTTGGGTTTCCTCTATTAAACATAAGGCCAGGCTCAGCCTCAGTTAGACTCATGTGTTGCTGCCCTTGGCTTCATGGAGACTACATGAAGAAATTGAGGACAGGATCTGGCCTGCTGTGTTTGGTGCGTTTCTGAGGAAAGAAGGAAATCAGCCCCTTTCCCCAGGTTCTCCTGGTATCTGCGCAGCTCTAGAAAGTGTATCTGTTAGTGCCAACAGGGAGAGCACAGGTTTTGGGGTTTTTGGTGGTCTCACCAAAATGAAAGATGTTTTTCTTCAATGTTTTTCTCTGTTGGGTCCCAGAAATAACTCCCCTTTCCAGATTTCAGTGGTTTGGTCAGGATCCCAGTGGCTAATGCCTCAGGTATCATCACATTGCTAAGTTGCTTTGGGACGCTGCCAGGTATCAGTAGAGAGCCCTGAAGTGGTACGTGGGGGCGGGGGCAAGGGGAGGAGCTGCACTTTGTATTACTGGGGCATGTGTCCACCAGGCTGGCCTAATTGCCTTGCATTGGTCCTTCTCCCTCCAGCTCCTTCAGAGATCCTTGATGCAACAGAAGAAAAGAAGTAAGTTGCTGCCTGGTCTATAGCGTTTGTTGCCCAGACCTTCTGTTTGGTTTCCAGTATGCTGGACCCTTCCTGGACCTAGCTGACACTTCTGTACCAGGCTTGGGCTGAATCATTCCAGACACTGGGTTCTCTACCAGCCCAGGGGCGGGAACAGAGCTCACAAGAGAAGCAGCATGACCCATTGTGAATCCCTTTCCTATTCCTGACCCAAGTCCTGGGTCCCATTCTGCTGACCCTAGGCATATTGCTTGACATCCTTTGCTGCTTCTGGGCTCTGACTCCTTTCTTGTGTCATTTCTTCCCAGCAGTGAGACCAGTTTGCATCAGGCTGCTGCCCTGCGCCAGCGTACTATTTGCCACTACATTGTGGAGGCTGGGGCTTCACTCATGAAAACAGACCTGCAAGTAAGTGCAGATGGGCTGACAGTGGGGACGGGAATGAATGAGGGTTTACTGGGGTGCTGGAGGAGGGTTGGGACAGGGTCTCACAAGGTGTTAGCAGATGGGGTCAGCAGAAGAGCATGAGAGGAATGTGAGCACATTTTCTGGGGCCCAGCCAAGTGAGGCACCTATCGGCTTCTCACTGGATAAGCTTTGGGGGCTTCCCCAGTGGTTTAGATGATCTCTCCTTGCCCTGCTCACCCACTCAGCAACAGAACCCTGTGGCTGTGCGGGGGTTAAACGTGTCTCCTCCTCACTCTTCCCTGCTGCCTGTGTTGTTTTTCTAAATTAGTGGCTGAGGGGCTGGAATGTCTCATTTCCCCCTTCCCACTCTCCGAGGTCATTGCAAGGACAGTCTCACCAGAGAGTGCCCCTCCCTGCTACAGATGGCTCTCCCAAATGGGAACCAGGGGCTGGGGAGGGGAGGGAGATCTGCAGGAAGGCAAGGAGCACTTTTAGAATAGCTGGGTCTACAGAGAGCAGCAAATGGGCATCAAACAGCTCAGGCTCAGTCAGTGCTGTGAGGAATTAATTCAGCCTGATCTTGGGGACTGTGAGGTTGGTGGTGTGGCAGTTGGCGCAGTTTGTGCCAGGGCCAGATGAGTTGTAGCAAAGGTGGGGAGGTTGTTTCGAGAGAACTTTCCAGGGATGTTGGCCTGTGGTAGAGGGCATGCAGTCATGTCTCCGAGTCAGAGGTTCCCTTGAGCTGGGGGAAGACAGAGGGGATATGGTGGCAGCTCTGTGCTGGGTGTTCTCAGGAGTTGGTACATAGCCAAGAAACTGCAGTCATATCTTGGTGGTTCCCAGGGGCTGGGATATAGCAGGGCAGCACACCTGGGGAGTCAAGCTTGCTGGCCTACAAATGCTTTGGAAAGTTTCAGACAATAAAACACCTCCTTGGCAGCTTTGCCAGCTGCCAGGGAGATGTTTTACAAATAATTCCTGGCAAGGGCTCAATGCTTCTAACTTCTAGCCTTGTGATGCTCCCAGAGCAAGAATGGCTTTGCCTTCAGGGCATGGCCCTAGGAAGAGAGGAGGAGTGCTCAGGTGAGGGAGCTGGTGGAGGAGGACTTGGTCCAGGTCACAGCACAGGCGGTCTTGGCACCAAGTGTGGAATCCTCTGCTTCCGCCCTTTGTTCTGGGAGGTGAATGGGCCCCACTGCCGGCAGTGCCAAAGGGAGTGAGTGGCTGCCTGGCTGCAGGGGGTGGGGAGCGGAGCTTGTGTGTATCTATATACCAGTGCATCTGGAGTTGAGCTTGTCTAAGGGCCCATCTGCACTGCAGGGCTGACCCCCTGTTGCAGCTTCCTGGTACGGGGACCATATGTCAGCCCCGATGCTATAATCCAGGTGGGCAGCGAGTTCAAACTACTGTTTGGTCCTGTACAGTGCCAGCAGAGCAAACTGAGTGAGAATTGGGTTGGGCTTTTATCATATTACAGTCTCCAGACTTGCTGGGCAGAGGGGCTCTCGCAGCTCCAGTTTCAGGCTGCGCCTCTGCTGGCTTAGGCAGACGGTGCTGTATCAGGGCTTCTGCAGGCAGACAGGAAAGGGGCTTGTGTCTACCTTGTTGCTCAGCAAGCACAGATTTCTCAGAGGCCAAGGGGAAGCCCCCAGCAGAGCCCTGGGACAGCAAAGCATAATGTGCCAGCTTATACCCGGCACTGTGTGTATCTGGGTGCATGCGTGTGTGTGTGCATGCATGCCATGTCTATCTGCCTGTGTGCCCCTGCATTCCTGAGCACATGGGGGCTTGTTTTTTTGTTTTCAGCTCTATCTGCCCTTAGGGGAGAGCCCCTGAGTGTCCAGGCCTAGTGAACCCAAGTGAAATCTAAATGGGGGCTGTCGTGTCCAGGAGCCTCGGGATCCCCTCCCTTCCTCATTGCAGCTGCCCTGCTAAGCTCTGAGGGCTAAGGCGGGTGCAATGCACTGCTTTTTAGGAGTTTGTTTTCAGAGGATGGGGCAGAGCGCCAGCTCTCCTTGGCCTTCCTCAGCAGAGGGTTTGTTCAGCATGACAGAGCCGGGGCACTGAGTGAGCAGGAGCAAGGAGAAGGGGGGAAGGGAGGAGTGTGGAGACGGAGCTGAAAGCTGTTAACAGATTTGCTTTTTATGGAGTGCGGGAGTTCATTAGTGGACACAGTCCAGATGGCTGCAATAAGCTGGTGAAATGTGAGCCTCCTCAGGGAGCAGGAGCATTGGTAAGACTGAGACTAAGAGCAGGGGGGGAGGGCGGTGTTGGTATTTCAGGGCACTCCCCAGACATACCCCTCACTCCTCCCCCCTCCCTTGGACTCTCTTCCCCCCTCCCTCCTGCCTGCCTTCCACTGAGCTGAAGAAGAAGCAGGTCAGAGAGTCAAACCCTTTGTCTTTCTGTGCAGGGAGTGGGAAGACGAATGGGTACCAGCCAGGCTCTGTCCTAGGCAAACCAGCTCTACTGGAACTTGCCCGCCAATAGCTTAGGCCAATCTAAGGAACCTTTCAGGCAGGCAGCTCTTCCACCCAGCTGTGCTTCTCCCTCCCCCTGTGGCAGACCTGCTCACCACATTACACTCCCTGCACTGTGCCCCACAGGGAGCCTCACCCAGGCTGTAACCAAACCTCCATCCGCCCCTGTTTGGCTCTGGGCTCTGCACATTTCCACTGGCTGAAGGTGCACTGTTGCTAGGCTGTATACCATATTACCATAAAGAGGGAGTCATTGGGTTCACTGGGTTAGTAGGACAGGGACCCAAGTGTCTTGGATGAGGAAAGGCCAGAAGAAAGCAGCATAGCAATACTGGTGCAGACCTTGGTCAAAGAGACTGTTCTGAGAGGAGTATGTGAACTGAGCCCTCTGCCAGGCAGGCTGCCCTCACCCAAGGAGTAACAGCAGCTCTCAAGCCAGTGACCTGGCTAACATGGAAAAGAGGTGGGGGGGGGTTTGAGGGTGGCAGTTGCCATCTCAGGACCTCTAGAGCTCAGATCATGAGCTGATACTGCTTGCCCTAAGGCATCAGGACCCCCCAGCTGAAGGCTGCCAGGCTCTCTGTCTGTGTTTGGGTACTGAGGGGAGCCAGTAACACACTTAGGGGTTGGTTGTCCTGGGGGTGCAGGCAGGAGGGAGTGGTCGCCTCTGTCACCCAGAGGAGGTCTCTGACGTGAGGTCTGTTTTTTTTCCTTTTGCTCCCCCTTCTTCCTTCTCTCTCCCTTACTGCACAGGGAGACACCCCCAAGCACAGGGCCGAGAAAGCCAATGATCCTGACCTGGCTGCCTACCTTGAAAACCGACAGCACTACCAGATGATCCAGCGGGAGGATCAGGAGACAGCTGTGTAGTGCTCAGCGTGCCTTAACCTATGCCTCTGCCAGTGTGGGCAGGGCAGGAAGATGACTGTGGAGCTGCGGGCCCAGCCTAGCCCTTCCCGAGTCTCAGCTCAGTCCCAGGAAGAAGAGGCAGCGGCTGTGTCCCAGACCTGGCTGGGACTGTATTTATTTGTGTGGTGGGTGTTTGGGACTTAGAGCCCAGGTGCCCCCTCGCCTACCACATTCCCCGCACTAGAGACAGACTTTGCTCCAGCAGCTGTCTTGCCCCTGCTTCCCACAGGAGCCATTGTGCTGCCCCTGCAGGTGAGAGGCAGCTACATCCCCTCCGCAGTCCTTCAGGGGTATTTGCAGTTTGGCATCCAGCTCCTTGCCACGTCATAGCACCACATATTGCCTGTCCACTGGAGCTATCATTCAAACCATGCCTGCCCCCTACTGGTTCCAGGAGCCTGCCACCAGAATCTGCAGGCGGTTACCTGAGACCTGCTCTGCCTGTTGCCCCCATCTCTGCTGGCCAGGCAAAAGGATTTCCAGAAGCTCTTGTGAGTCTGG